GCTCAATCGCTTACCTTTTTTCTATAGTTATCCATTCATAAAACTGGTTCGTTGCACGTTTTCAATGTTGAAGTCTTTATCGTTGTTGTTGTTGTTGTCGTTGTTGTCGTTGTCTTGAGTTGTGTGCCAAAGCGGGTGGGCGGAGGGAGGGTTGGCTCATTTTCTCGTGCAGCTAGTGCAGCTGGCGCTGTACGCATTGTCTTTGTTTGTGGCGGCAGCAAACGCAACAGCGGCGACGCTTGGCAGCCACACGGCGACAGGGCAACATTTTATGACACTGCTCAGCCTATGGGTTAATAACCAATTTACTGTTGTTGTTATGTTGCTGTTACTGTTACTGTTGTTGTTGTTGTAATTGTACTAGTTGCAGTTGTTATTGACGCGTTCGCTGCTGTAGCAGCATTTGCGTCTGGCAATGCCCGTAAGCTATGAACGCTGCTGGCAATGCCGAGAGCAACAGCAGCCAGCCAGCGACAGAGTCAGAAAGCTTAGCTTTACTTTTGCGACTGATGCTCCTGTTGTTGTTGTTGTTGTTGCTGCTGCTGTTGTTGTCGTTGTTGTTGTTGTTGCTGTTGTTGTCTTTATATTAATTAATTCTCTAATATAAGCCTATGCATGTATACATGAGTTATGGCAGTCGCTTTGTTGTTGTAAATGGACGTTTCTTGTGTGAGTGTGTGTGTGTGTGTGTGTCTCTCTATTTTGATATGTTGGCATGTGTAAGATGCGCTTGTTGTTGCTGCTGTTGCTATTTGTGCCTTTTCTTGCTGCTGCTCTCCTTCAGATAGTTTATGCACAATTTACATACGCACACACACGCTTATTGTTGTCTGCTTAGCTATTTGCTGCTTTCTTATTTAGTGTTTTTTTTTTTGCTTCTTTAGTTATTTCCATTTTTGCTTTGTGACTCTGCCAGTCAGCTGTCTGTCATTGACATGTGCGCGCGCTCTCACGACGTCCAGCAGGCGCGCTCTCTTCCTGCATTCGCTCTCGCTGCTGCTCTTCCCCTCGCCCAGACTCTCGCAAACGCCAATACACAGCGTGGGGTGGCACTCACTCACTCATTCGCTCACACGCACACACACGCACATGGCAGCGCACATGCACGCTGTAAATGTGAATGGCCGCTTTGTGTGTGTTTGTAGGTTTTTGTATATTTTTGCGCAACACAATGCCAAATTCGGCCTAAAATATACTATATTTGGTGCATTTGGCTGCCTTCAGGCTCGCACGCACAAGCAAACACACTTTCATTCAAACACGCACGCAAACACTATTGCAAGCTTTTATTTTATAGCCAAATTTGATTATTTTTAAGCACTTCTTGCGAACACAATATATATATATATATTTAATTTTTGCTTTTTGTTGTTTTTGTCTTGGAGTTGCCACATAGTTTTGAACGGTTATGTATTTGGGACGTTTGTTGCCACCCCGCGCGCCTTTTACTATGCACCGAATATTTCTTCTTTATTTTCTTTACTCTGCACCAAACTTGTCTTTGTTTATTGTTGTTGCTGCTGGCTTTGAGTAAAATTGTTTAAACAAATGGAACGGAAAATAATAAAACGCAGCCTGTGCAGCAGCGTCGGAGCAGCTACAAGTCTTCTTTTGCACAACTCTTGCGCTGTGCTCTATGTTACGCTGCTTTAGTGGGCCGCTTGCTTTCGTACACTCGTTCGTGCTCGTTCGCGTTCTCTCAGTCAGTCAGTCAGTCAGCTTTTTTATTCGGTGGTTGTTTCACTTTTGGCTTTCTTTTGATTCTTGACGACGCCTCCGCTCCTCTGCCCTTCTGGCAACTCCTGTTCGCTGTGATATCCTGTACACAGCTGGCAACTACAAAGTTGCAGCTCAGGGTAAAACTCTCGCTGCAGTTGCTCGACAAAACGTTCCTTGATTGCCGTCATAAAAAACAATTGGAAACACACGCACACGCACACGTACACACACAACTAAAGAGTCACAGGCGCTCTCTCGCTCGCAGTACGCTCTCTGTCGCCCTATCGCTCTCTTTGGCAGCTGCTGTCAGGCTTTAGGCAAAGCAACCACCGAAATTGCGCTTACAGTTTTAGCGGCACTGTTCAGCCGCACTGTTTGACATGCAGTTGGCGTCTTTGTTGTGTTTGCCATATGCACGCACGCGCGCGCGTTTCATTATGTTTTGGTCGCATTGTCAGCGTTTTGCAACACTGAGCAATGTGTGCCATGTGCGCCTTTGCGTATGCAACAAAAATCGAAACGACTTTAAAGGCATTTTAAAGACAGCGCTCGCCGAGCCGCAAAAAGCCACCCGCCCCGTACAAAATCGAGCTCCGCACTTCCTACAGGCAAGGGACATGCACTTAATTGCCCGGCGTGGGGACAAATTCAAGTGTGTTTATGTTTATATTCTTTCTTTCCGATGCATAATTTATTTGATTGGCATGAGACAAAAAGATGGAAATGCAATTAGGACTGGAGCGAGGGGTGCACAGGTAACATTTGGCTAAGTAAGATTTTAATACGCTCTGCCGGGGTCTACGGAGAGAGGGGAAGAGGGACAGGGACGTTGTTCTATCAAAGCATATATAGGACAAATGCGATTTTCTTTAAGTAGCTAATGAATTGAGCGAGTTCCGATTATAAATTTAAGATAATTTAGAAATAAGATAATTTAGAAATAAATATTATTTTTGGTAGTTTCGAAGATATCTTGACGTATATGCTAACATAGCTGCAAAATCGTATTCAATATCATAATCATATATTTTTTTAAAAGAATCGTTCCAAGACCATTTCTGATAAACTTTCTGATGTTTATAGGATCTGGAATCGTAGTCTCTTAATGTAACTTCTCCTTCTTCTTCTTAAATGGCCTGGGATTCGTGCATGTTGTACAAAAGTCCCTTTTATTGTTTTGGTCAAAGCTTCAATTCTCGTGCGATTTGTCGTAGACTTATTTTCAGAATCACACATGTATTCACTGAAACTGCGAAATCCACCAACACAAGCGGAAAATGGGTGGAAGTTACACAGTCAGCCAAGACAAATGAACATTGTAGATCTACTATTACTCTTCATTTAAATCGTAAACCATAGGCATATTATTTTCTTGTCTTGTCGAACGGGCGTCCAAATCCCAAACTTTGTGCTCTGGTTTATTTGAAGACGCCAAAGTTAATTGTGAACTTGATTTCCAGCAGCGATTCGCCTTCACTCGTTAGCAGCCAGTTTGTCGTGGGTCATGGCTAATAGTTTATAATGGGTGAACCAGCTTAAAGAACCGAGACGGCGCTGTCTAATTGAAGCATAAGTAATGAGCCTGTTAGCGACTTGCGAGCTGCTGTTTTAAACCAGTTCGGGCAGCTGCTGAAAGCTCAGCAAAGGGTTGCAACCCCTGGGCTCGAGTCGAGTCGTAGTCGTTCGCCCGGCTCGCAGCTAGTTAACATCCACGTGTTTGTACATGAATTTAATCTCGGCGCAAACAAAGTAACAAGAATTCAATTTGTCACAGTGGTTGCCAGCGGTAACGGTAAAGCTAAAGCCAAGGGGGCCCAGTCGAGAGATAAAACTGCCTGGAACTTGGAAAATATTTGCATTTCGCCTGCTTTTTGGGCAACAGGCATGGGGGTGGAGGTGGGGTGTTCTGATTGAGAGCGAGAGAGAGGGGTGTGCGGTTGGGCTGTTGCGTAGGTAAAGCCAAAAGCCCTTCGGGACTTGTTAATGCAAACAATGCGCATTTGATATTGAAAACGCGTCGAGTCGAGTCGTGTTGAGGGGTGGGGTGAGGTGGAGTGGAGTGGGGGCTTGGGCGCTTTTTGCTTGCATTCGGGGTAGTTTTGTGTAGTCTGCCTTTGAGCAGGGGCTAGGCGAAAAGGGGGTCGAGGAGGCAAAAGCCCAGCATCACTTGCAACCACACGAACTTGAATGAACGCTGGGCCAAGTGGGAAGGCGGGGGGTGGCAGTTGCGGTTGGTTTTTGGCGAAGGGTAGGGGCCAGTGGGCGGCGTACGCAGCATTGCATTAATGCGTATTTCCGGGTTCTGGAACGGAAGTCGATATATGTATTGTGCAGTGCCGCGTCTGGGGACAGTTGGCGACAACATTTTGTTGTCGCTTGGGTTTGTTGGTCGGTCGCTTGTTTGCCCGCATGTGCCAAAAGTTCGTGTCGCTGTCTGCCCCAGAGTCCAGCCGCAACCATGGAAAACATGTAAAAAACAACGCTGCGCTTGAATGCGCCCGACTGTGCAATACCCTGTGCTCAGCCGATTATCTAGATTCAAATAGGCAGGTGGGGGCGTGGCAAAAGTAAGAACTGTTGGCAATTGAAAAAATGCAACAGTACGCAATGAAAAGGACGGAACAATAAAGCACTTTAGGCACTCTGACTCTAAAACTGTAACAGCAAACAGTGGCTCCAAAACGGTGACTTAAATGCCACTAAAACTGTGAAATACCTGGGTTTCCTTAATGTGGCCTTGAGGCTACCCATCGGAGTCATTTCACAAAACTGTGACTCCAAAACTGTACATTTCCAACTGTGACTTTAAATTGTATGTCAGACAGACTTTTGCGACTTTTAGGGCGCAGAAAGTCAGTTTCAGCTTTGATGGAATTCATCAAATGACTCACATAACTTAGACGCTAAAACTGTAATTAATCTATGTGACTTTCAAACTGTAAATCATCAAGAAGAAGAGACTACTTATACGAATTGGACAAAAGTCGAACCGTGCAGCATGTCAATATACCCTGGCTTCCTCTACTTTACAGAGTATTAAACCAGTTGTGATCCTGGCTGCGATGGCCGATGGTCGCATTGTCATGTAAATGCCGCACACGCTTAAATGCTTTAAACTGGCCTCTAATGAGGCCCAGACGCGGCTTCTGATGCCTGCCGTCTGGTTGCCAAGGATGCTACCCTTGTTTTAATATCCTTTGTGCCCAGTCGCAGGCTATAGGGTCGGTCGGGGGTCGGTTGGGGTTGGTTGCCAGCTAACTGTCAGTCATTTAATAGCTTACCTTATCTTCAGCTTCCTCGGCGCGTTCTTCCGCTTCGATGACGCGTTGTTCGAGTTCCGTTAACTGCAAAATAAGAAAGTGAAAACCGTATGAATATGTGAGAAATATATAGATAGAGAGAGAGTAAGAGAGAGAGAGAGAGACAGGAAGGTTTCGTAAACGTTCTTAAACGACGAAAATCATGTGCAAATAATCGAATGGCTAAGTTTATCAGCACATGACACATCAGTATTATTATTTAAGGTTTTTTATTCTTTTTCTTATAAAGCGGCATTTTCACCTTATTTATTCCATCTTCTTTAAATAAAATGTCAAAATGACATGCAAAGGTGGCAACGCCATGCTAGGTGGCAGCACCGTTCCCTGATAGCTGTCACAATTTAAGCTAAGATGAGTTAATAGACTATCAGATAAGCCCACAAAATCAAGATGTTAAAGTATTTGTTAAGTTTGACTAGAAGTGTTTGCTCTTTCGCTTTACATCCGATCGATTTATAAATATATAGATATAGATATTGTAGACCGGAACAAAGTTTCCATTACGAAAACTAATTTCTAGATTTCCCCTATACATAGGGATCGGGACATAACTGTACTACACTTGCATAAAAAAAGCTTTTTAAATCAACTTATTCTTTTTGCATAAGGCATTTTTGCAATAACAGAATATTTTTTTAAAATACATAAATATTCTTTTAAATATTATTTTACTGTATGCTTTATTTTGTTTTGTTTTATATTTTTTATTGAACATATATATTTTTTCTTTGAATAATCCTTGGCAACAGCTTTGACAGAATCTTAAGAAAGCTCAAGCGTCTAGTTCAGACAGCCACCAGCTGCAGCTGAGCCACAAGCCGGTTTACTAAATTTCCCTGTATTTGGTGTGGTAAAGTTGTAAAGCTTGGCGCACAGAAACTGTGTTGAGTTGCGCTTGTCGAGGCACAGATGGCGGCACGAGTGCTGCTGAACGCATTCCTAACTGACTCGAGCCGAGCCGAGCGAAGCTGTTCCACGCCCACAACAGCTGCCTGCTTGCGCCCAGCGCGGCATCCACATCAATCAATCAATCAGTCAGTCAGTCAATCAATCATAGCAAATGACAGACTATTTGCGGTTAGTAAGGATAATGCGCCAGCTAATACAATTCATGGCGAATGCTCGCAGAAGCAGGCGGAAGTTGTAAATGAGGGCTGGATTGAGTGAGGCGAGGGTCGTGTGCTCCATATTGAGTTGACGGCGCCAAAATGTCTGCGGAAGTAATATACACATAGCACCGGCCCCCATTATTCTTGGCGTGTGCCACACCTTGGCGAGCCGCCGCCCAAAGGCCACTTGAGGCAGCCACAAACAGGAGGCGGACGCGGACAAGGGGGTGGAGGCGGAGTCGGTGGCGGTTGGGGTTTGTCAAAGCAGCTCACCGGTCTACGACTAGGCGAGGGAAATGCTAATCTCGCGCTTTTAACTGCTCAATGGTTTGCCATTAACAGGGCCCATCACGGATATAAGGGAGCAAAGTCAAAGTCGACCCCCGGCCAACCTCTCACGGAACTGCTTGTGGGTGTGTTCTGTACCGAGGCACTCGAGGAATTCCATCAATTAATCATCAGAGTGGCCCGCGAGCGCCATCAACGTTAAGGACTTGATTCCGCTATATAGAGCAGAGCTAACCCGCCCTCCCCCTTTCCCTCCTCGCCCAGCCCTCTGAACCGCCATCTATTTGAATGCTTTGGAGTGCATTAATTTCCGCATTTTATGGCATTTAAGTGGCCATTCAGAGCGTGAACTTCAAGCGGCTTCCATTGATTGATGGCTGCCAACCAAAAATATGAAGGAGCTGCCCGCTCCGCCCCGAATAAAAACATAAACAGAAGCTGCAGCAACAGCAGCAGAGAAGGACGCGGAGCAGCAGCGACAGCAGCTGCGGAAGTGCCGGATGTGGAGCATATGGCGGGGCTAGCGGGGCAACGGAACTCATCGAGTCAACCAGCTTGACTCTGGCATTTAGCTAAAGGCGTCTCTCAGGTTTCACTTTAGCGACCAGGATAATGTTCGAAGGCTGCGGCAGGCAGCTCCTTATCGCGCCCCAACAAAAAATTGATGCCTCGGCGCGAAATTTAATAGCTGATTAAGTCCATAACTCGATAATGGCAAATTATATTCCTGTCTCGTTGGGCGCAACTTTTTGATAGACCAGTTTCTGCCTGGGCTAGAAAATGGCATTCAATCCCAATTGGACATAATTCTTCTTCGAAAAAGAAATGGGCTTGAGAAAATGGAAGTTACATTAAAGCAAGCAGATATACATTTAAGGTTTACTTCGCCTACACAAAGTCTTGTTTAGAACATTCCCCATTTTTTTATGCAAAACAAAACATATCTCAAAATCGAAACTTATCGATTTTCTAGAAATAGCGCGATGAAGAGATATGATGAAATCGATATTTTTCGATATTTGGGATTACTCAGGATTAAATTCACCTAGACCAAGTCCGGTTAAGAAAATTCCATATATAATAAGCCACGTCTCAAAATCGTTATCTATCGATATTATCAAATTGGCACGATATATCGACAAATGATATGACAAACTGAAAATGATATGGTTTTATTCTTGAGAACAGAAGGCAGCGACTCAGGTCGTACTCAGGTCAAGATTCGCCTAGAACAAGTTCCGGAAAGAACATTCGTCATTTTAATAATCTTCAATGCACGACATTTTTGATAAATTATGATAAATGCAAGGTGTTTTCTTCAGTTATCGAAAATGATGGCCTATTTAATCTAAGATCTAGAGTCCAAGAGTTGACCCCTATCCAGAGGCTGCCGACGACGCATTCTATAAGAATAGTTGTTTTTATTAAGTATACGCCAGCATATTTCATTAAATGGAGTTCGAATTTAGAGTACCATTAAATTGGGCCAGGTGGCGACACGATTCAGTTCAACGGCACTCACCATGGGATTGTCGAGCTCCTCATCGACGATGACAATTTCCAAGGTGAGCGTCGATACCGCATTCCTGGAGAGTTCCGCATCAGCTGTGTGCCTGATGCAGCAGCAGAAAATGCGGCTCAGAATGTGCCTCCACATGCCGTCGATGCCAAGAGCTGTCGTCCAACTGCTTAGCTGCTCCGGCAAAGCCATTAAATGGCCGCTGTGCGTCACCCGGCGAAGCCATCGGAGATCGTCTAATCGGATAAAAACAGCTGTCAGTCGACTGTCATTCAACTGTGTTGCTATCAGCTGGAACACTTAATCATGACCAGCCGATGGGGCCGGTGCTATAAAGGCGCTGCGCTTGGACTTGGCAACCAGTTGCACTGCGAGATGTGCACCAGCCTGGGCAAGTTCTTCAGCTGCACCCAAGCGGCCGAGGAGGAGCGCGAGCACAGCAGACAAGATGACCAGCAGGGCTACAATTTTGATGAGCGCCACAGGCAGCAGCTGATGGCGCTGAGCAATCTCAGCGCCGAGGCAATGGCCCAGCGTCGGCGCCCCGTGCGGCCCAAGCAGCCGCCGCCGCCGCTGCCCCGCTCGCAGTCGCATAGAGCAACTGGGCTGACAAGCAGGCAGCGGGAGCGGGAGCGTGAACGAGAGCGGGAGCGAGAGCGAGACAATTGCAATTCGTATACGGCCATGGAGCGGCATGATCAGATCCTCGAGGACAATGCGGAGCAGCTGTAGGCAGACGGCGGGCCGCGGACAGAGCCAGAGGCAAGGCGAACATAGCGTAGACATACATACATATATATGTATATATAAAAATAAACACATTAAAGAGCAACATGGTAAAAAGTTAAACAAATGCCCCAATGGCTCATCAATATTGTAAACAGGGCGCGGGGCAGGCTGAGTTTGGGTTTGAGTTTGGCTTTTTTTGGGCAAAAGTTGTAGCAGTCAAAAAGCTAATGGATTAGGCCAGAAAGTGCGAGTGTGCTCGAAAGTTATGCGAGGTTTGCGTGCGTGTAGGCAACCAGCCAGGGGCAGGGGCACAAGGCGGGGGAGGGGCGGCTGCCAAGGTGTGTCCCGGCCATACACACATACACACACACACATACTAGGCAAGTGTTGCCTTTGGCTGTTTAATTATAGGCGCTACTGCTGCCAATTGGCAACTTAATTGGACCTTTTGACCAGGCTTTAAGCAGCTACATTTGTACTTAATTGCAGGGGCGTTTCACAAATAGTTGTTGTTGTTGCTGTTGCTGTGGTCATAACGCAGCCCACAGGGACATACCATTTGGGTGTCAACTCGAACTTTGTAGTTAACTACCGAATGGCAAACACAAATCTCATTTGCCAGCCACGAATGCAATTTGGTACAAACAAATGGCCACAAGCAGACACAGAGACAGAAATGGAGAGCAAGAGAGAGACAGAAAGACAGACAGCTGTTTGTTGCTGCAAACAGTTGGTACAGACATGTAAGCATTTGGGCATTTATTTGAATCATTAGTTGCCCAAAAACAGCTGCCTTTTGCCATTGATGGGTGTCAAAAGACACACATTCACTTCAAGTCTTTCGCAGTTACATACTAAGGCTGCAGTGTTGTCATTGTCATTGTCATTGTCATTGTCATTGTCATTGTCATTGTCATTGTCATTGTCATTGTCATTGTCATTGTCATTGTCATTGTCATTGTCATTGTCATTGTCATTGTCGTTGTCGTTGTCGTTGTCGTTGTCGTTGTCGTTGTCGTTGTCGTTGTCGTTGTCGTTGTCGTTGTCGTTGTCGTTGTCATTGTCATTGTCATTGTCATTGTCATTGTCATTGTCATTGTCATTGTCATTGTCATTGTCATTGTCATTGTCATTGTCATTGTCATTGTCATTGTCATTGTCATTGTCATTGTCATTGTCATTGTCATTGTCATTGTCATTGTCATTGTCATTGTCATTGTCATTGTCATTGTCATTGCCATTGTCATTGTCATTGTCATTATCACATAGACGGACATGGCTAGATCGATTAAACTTCTGACTTCTTATCTAGAAAATATAGATTCTAGGATAGCAGATTCGTTTGGCAACAGCGTCCTTCACAGAAGATCCACTAGGTC